CCCCGCGGTGCGGAGGGGGGTCCCCGCTGCCACCGGGCACCGGAACGTGCCGCGGAGGGGGGCCTGGGCGGCGGGGCCAGGGGTCCCCCGGGGAAAGCGGTGCGGGGAGTCCCGGCCGGTGCCCCCCATATGTCCCCGGTGCCTCCTGGTCTATCCCGGCTGTCCCGGCTGCATGTCCCTGCTGTCCCCGGGCTGTTGTCCCCAGAACATCCCATGTGCCCCCGGCGCATCCCGCCTGTCCCCAGTCTGTCCCCGATGTCCCCGGTGTGTCCCCACCATCCCCTGGTACATCCAGGCTCTCTCCCCGTCTCTCCCTGCTGTGCCCTGGCTGTCCCTGCTGTGTCCCCAGTGTCCCCAGTGCATCCTGGCTGTCACTGGTGTGTCCCCCACTGTCCTCCGTCCCACCCACCGGTCCCCACTGTCCCTGGTACATCCCGGCTGTCCCCCATGTGTCTCTGCTGTCCCCACTGCATCCTGGCTGTCCCCAGTGTCCCCATTGCATCCTGGCTGTCCCTGGTATGTCCCCAGTGTCCCCACTGCATCCTGGCTGTCGCTGGTGTGTCCCTGGTGAGTCTCAGCTGTCCTCAACGTGTCCCTGCTACCCCAAGGCTGTTTCTCCAGCACATCCCACTTGTCCCTGGTGCATCCTTGGCTGTCCCCGGGGTGTCCTCGCTGTCCCCGGTGCATCCCCGCTGTCCCTGGGCTGTCCCCGCTGTCCCCATTGTGTCCTGGCTGCCCCAAGAGCAGCCCAGCCCCTGCAGCCCAGCTGGGTTGGGGACACTTGGGGCTGTCACCCCATGTCCCCGGGCTTGGGGTGGGGACCCTGGTGTGGGGCAGGCCAAGGCCAGCCTGTTGCGGCCGTGCCGTGGCACCATGGTCCGGGTGCAGGGGACTGTTCCCTGCCGTGCTGGCATGTCCACAGCCGCGTGGTTTGGGCACGTGCTGTGTCCCCGCGGTGCCTGGGGCGGCGGGTGCGAGCGGCTGCTGTCCCTTGGCCCAGGGTGACCAGGGGGGACTGGGGAGGGGGACATGGGCTCTGGGTGCCCCTGGCTCTGCTGGAGCTGCATCCCCCTCCCCACAGGGACCCTCATGCTGCCCCTGCGGGGCCCTGTGCTGGGGGAGGGGATGGCTGCGCCGTCCATCTGTCGGGGCCCCCCTGGCCATGCCCTGCTGGTGGGGCCTGGGGGGGCCGCGGGCTGCTCTTCCCCTCCAGACAGAGCCTCACTTCCCCCCGTGACGCAGCCGGAGTCGCCGGCCCCGGGGCCGCTTCCTGCGCCGGGGGCAGCGCGAGGGGGGCCCACGAGCCCACGGGCACCACGGGCCGCCCTGGGGACCTGCCTGGGTTTGCTGCCGGCCCCGCGGGCTGCAGGAGGACGGGGACAGCACATGCGAGGTCCGGCCGCGTGTGCCGGTGAGGGTGCACGGTGCTGCTGTGCATGGTGCCAGCGGGGTCCCAGGGTGTGTGGCCAAGGTCACGCAGCACATCGGGTTGGGGACGGCTGGCTTGGGGCTTGGTGGGGACGCGGGGAGCATCCCACAGCCCCTCTCTGCACCCGTCCCCGCTGCGCCGATGGGGGCTGTAAATACTGGCGCTCCGGTTGTTTTTGCTGCTGTCGTTGCGCTGGGTGGGAGAAGGTGGCAGAGTTTGCTCCAGGGCCGTCTGGCGGCCCCCAGCACTCCCACCCATGGGGCAGCCATGTGGGGTCCCCGGCAGGGGACAGGGCTGTCACAAGCGCTGCATGCACCCCAACCTTGCCTGCTTCCAGTGACCTCCCTCCCGGCCTCGCCACCTCCATCACACCCAGACCCTCCCGTTGTCCCCTCTGGTTCCCCCTGCACCGCTGAACCCCCCCGCCGGGTCTGGGTGAGCTGGAGCCGCGTGGCCCCGCGTGAACCCCAACCCCTGCCCAGCTCCTGGGGTGCAGGGTGGGGGCCACGGCCTGGAGCCACAGCACGGCTCCGTGCCTGGAGCCCCGGGGGCCTCCCCAAAGGG